GGGGCAGGGGTGCAGCGGCGCTGGCCGGGGGAGATCAGGAAGAGGAACCAGCCGGCAGGAAGCAGAGCTGGGGGGTGGTGCAGGGGAGCTGGCCGGGGATTTTTTTTACCGGACAAAGAGTGAAATACTGGACTGCTTGGTACAATGCCGGACACCTGGCAACCCTAGGTGGGAAAATGGTCCACAACTCCCTGGGATGGGGGGAAGCCTACGGAGACCATCTCACGCTGCCTAACCACTGAATCCCAAATGGACGGTAACACAGAACCGACACAGAGCACAGGACCCCATTCCCAACGGCAAGCCACCTCCTAGGCGCAGCTACCTGAGGGATTACAGGAGGCGGGGCCTGAACGTCACGGCCATGCCTGATCATTGTGATGGGCTGACCCGCCCCCTTGCAACGATATTATTCCTCCACCTCCCAAAGTACTGGGGAACAGGCCCGCCAACAGGGGTGGGGAGGCAAAGGGGGCAGCTGCCCGGAGGCCCACCTATTTAAAAGGGCCCAGGCTCCTGGCTGCTGCTAGCATGGCAACATCAGTAGCTAAAGCCCTGGGCCCTTTAAATCACTGCTGGAGCTCTGGGTGGTGCTGAAGGGCTGAGCTGGGGGAGGCTCAATCCAAGCCCCGCCCCTTCCACTTGAGGCTCCGCCCCTTCTGAAGGCTCAGAGCCGCCCCTCCCACACCTTGCCCTGGGCCTGGTGAAGTCTGTCAGCTGGGCCCTGTCGGCTGCCCCTGCCGGGGAATGTTGGATCTGGAGCCAATGAAGAGACAAATGCAAAGGCAGCGATATGCTTGTGATGTCACTAACGAGGTGACCTGATCAGGAGTCTCCCTGGCATGCCAGTATCTAAAGAAATCCCGACTGGCTTTAGCTACGGCCTGTCCCTGTAGCTGTGCCTCTGTCTGCTTGGCGTGAGAGCGAAATGGGTTTTACATGACGTGCAGTCATCAGATGTTTTTGTTATTCTCTCGCTTTGGCTTGAAAAGAGCTGTGTTACCAGCAAACCCTGCCAGGTCACTGAGTTCTTCAGCAACGTCCCCGCCGCTCTGTTTTTCCTTCGTTTCTGCTGTCTCCGAGAAACTGGGAAGAGTGATTAACCATTGGCACAATTTGTCTAAGGATGTGGGGATCAGCCTTCTCGGATAGTCTTTACATGAGGACTGGATGTCACTCTACAAGGTCTGCAGCAACTCAGCCACACGCTATGGGCTAGATGCAGGAATTACTGGTGAGGATCTTTGGCTGGAGTCTTTCATAAGAACATAAGAACGGCCGTACTGGGGCAGACCAAAGGTCCATCTAGCCAGATGCCCCAGAGTGAACAGAACTGGGAATCATCAAGTGCTCTATCCCATCACTCATTCCCAGCCGCAGACAAACAGGCTAGGGATGCCATTCCTGCCCATCCTGGCTAATAGCCATTGATGGACCTAACCTCCATGAACGCCTCTAGTTCTTTTTTGCCCAGAGCTCTCTGGCCTGAAATCTACACAGTAATGAAACAGCCCCATTTCCCAAGCCTCGAGAAACCCAGTGGCCTGGCAGCCTTTACTGAGTAGACTCACCTCTATGGATATGAGGAGCGAGATGTTGCTTAGGCTGCAAATTTAGATAGCAGCTCCATTTAAATCCTCTGAGAAACTAATTCTAATCCTGCAGCGGAGGGGTAGAGGGAATATAGAGATCACTAGCTAGCTGCCTGTATATTTCATAACTGAGCAGTCAAAGGCAAAATCAAAAACCCATTGGTTGTGTTCCACAATCCACTTCAAACAAGGGGTATAATTCATAGATTTTCAGGCCAGGAGGGACCAGTATGATCACCTGGTCTGACCTCCTGTGTTACACGGATCACAGTCTATGCACTGAGCCCATAACTTCTGTTTGAGCTAAGGTGGCTCTTTTAAAAGAGCATCTAGTCTTGATTTAAAGATGTCCGAAAGATCTATTGACCTGCTCCGGGGCCCGATCCCCATCACTAACGCTGAGTTGTACTTTACTCCATGAGTTCTCCCTTTGATTACAATGGGGTCACGTGTGCCATAAGATACTACAGGATGAACCTTTTTCGTCCAGCACCCTCGGGACCTGACCGGTGCCGAACCAGAGAATTTTCCAGACCATGGGAGGTGAATAGTGTCCAGCAGCATTACCAACACTCCCACTGCTTACTGGGCACTTTGAAGACATTTAGGAGTAAATTAGAGCTAAATAATGGATGGCGGGAAACTTGGCCACACCCATGATAAGTGGACATCTGGCTAACTAACATCATGCCAGATCACAGATGTTGTCAGGCCAGAGTGCTGGACTAGAGAGGTTCAACTTGCTACTTGAGGTGGAATCATAGATGCATAGAGTTGAAGGGACCTTGTGAGGTCATCTAGTCCACCCCTCCCTCCCCAGTACTGAGGCAGGAGCAAGTAACCCTAGACCATTCCTGACAGGTTTGTCTAACTTGTTCTGAAAAGCCCCCAATGACCGGGATTCCACAGCCTCACTAGGGAACTTATTCCAGGTCTTAAACTTTAGAGTTAGGAAGTGTTTCCTAAGATCTATCTGAAATCTCCTTTGCTGCAAATTAAGCTCATTACTTCTTGCCCTATGTTGGGCCTGGAGAATAACTGTCCTCTTTGTAACAGCCCTTACCATATATGAAGACTGTTATCGGGATCCCAAATCCCTCAGCCTTCTTTTCCTCGAGGCTCAACATGCCGGCTGTGTCTACACTGGCCACTTATTCTGGAAAAGCAGCCACTTTTCCGGAATAACTTGCCAGCTGTCTACACTGGCCGCTTGCTTTTCCAGAAAAGCACTGACAAGCTAATGTAAAATCGTCATTGTTTTTCCGGAAAAACTATGCTGCTCCCGTTTGGGCAAAAGTCCTTTTCCGGAAAAACTGTTCCGGAAAAGGGCCAGTGTAGACAGCAGTCTTTTCCCCAAAAAAGCCTCGATCGCGAAAATGACCATCGGGGCTTT